TTATTTATTTATCTATTTATTTATTTATTTATTTATTTATTACCTGTTTATTTATTTATTTATTTATTCATTTAGTTATTTATCTGATAAATATCTACAGGAAAATGAAATTTATAATTCTACAGCCTGCGTTTTCAAATAACGCTGCACCCAAGCACTCCCAGGCAGCTGTATTTCTGTATTGCTTTCGTTGTGGCTTGTATCACTGTGGAGCGATCTGAGAAGATCTGAATGTGTGGCAAGAAAGACCATTCTGTACCGACATATCCTCCGATTTGACCAGGAAAAAGATCGTCATAACAATAATTGTCTTGACATTACAAGGGATTTGACCAATAATTTAAAAAAATCTCATCGGACCAACGTAGCTTGATTTTAACCAAGGATAAATAAATAGGCAGATTCGACCGATGTTAGAAACGATTCAACCAGGAATGATAAACAATAATCTTGGATTGACATCAAAAGCGATTTGACCAGGTATAAAAGACATAACAAACAAGCGACTTGTCAAGGGATAGAAGTTAATCTTGGTCCAATATCAAGCGTTTTGACAAGAAGCCTGTATGGGTGTAAGCGCTGCTCCACGAGACATCGATAGGCGCGTGACAAGCGAAACGACGGACAGCGAAGGTGAGTGTGCTATCCTGCTCATAATGTACTTTGCAAAAAGTTCTCTTTTAGTCCCCAAAATGATCAGACCGGCGACTGAGCTGTAGCGGTTGGGTGTTTTGTCGTTGCACGAAAAAAAGATGTGAGTTTGATTCCTGTGTGGGGAGAATTTTTATCGAGTACTTCTGAACTGTCTCTCTGCAGGGTCACTGTATCCCTCTCGGCTAGCAGGGCGAACGCCCGCCTCCAAGATGAGCTAAACTTGTGTCAATGGGAATGGGGACGCAAATACTCTTACAAAAATAAGAAATATTGCAAAATAGTCATACAAACATTACATATATTATGCGTGCGTGCGTGCGTGCGTGCGTGCGTGCAAGTGTGAGTGTATGTGCG